AAACTTAAATTAAGAACTAACAAATGCATGTTTCTGGGATGATGTTTTGAAAAGTTATAATAGTATGTAGTCTATTATTTTCTATCAAAAAAAGTGGACTTAAACCAAAATTGTCTGCGATAGAATTCTATAACAAGTCATTGAAACGTTTTGAAGTGTTTGGGGTGTACAGGGAGGGGTATCACCTCTGTTGAGTCATCTGCTTTAGTCCCCATCTGTTACCCAACTCTCACCTGTGGTTCCAAGCAGATGTTTGCATGTGAACAGTGCCCACATCTCAACTAACTGCTTGGACTGGCAGGCTAAACCAGGTGAGGGTAGCCGACAGGGTTCAAACCCTCAATGAGCTAGGTAGGCATGTTCCACTGTCTTCTGGAATAACTTGGAAGGGTGAAAGACAAAGGGAGTAAACCCCCTGAAAGAAAATCGAGATTGAGGAACACCCATATGTTTTGTGGCAGCTCAGGGCAGACCAAACCCTTAGCCTTGATTGGCATTTTGTCTAGGAGAGGAGTCCCCACAGGCGGATAAGTGGATATGATCAATTTGTTCTGGCAGCTTCTTCAACTTTGCTGGTTACAAATGCATGAGACCCCTCCTTTTCTTTGGATTCAACCAGCAAGATCGAGAGAGGGATCCTGACGCATAGACAACCCTAGATTTCCATATCACTTCCCAGGCTACGGCACCTTGGAGAGGAAACTCGAGCATCGCATGACATTCTGTATTGACACAACACAGGAGACAGCATTTTATGAGTTATATTTCTACCTCAGTTGCTGTGGGTTGTATCTGACGGTGGGAGAGGCCTTTGTGATAGCTACCACCCACCTTAACCTGGGCAGGCTCTGGCCAATTATGTAGTATCTGCCATGGTCTACCTGCTTCAATGGGGGCTTAGAGCATAGGATGAAATCCCAAAAATAGATTGCAATGATGAACCAAGCACACGATGAAAGCAATCAACAATACTTTGCCTTGCTACATAGAATGTCAAGAACATGTGCACTGGTTTGAAGTAAGATCCTAACAACATAACTAATGCACGGAAAATGGTGATCACTGACCTTGAACTCAACAGACTGAATTTGGACATTACAGCTATATAAAAGACAGACTTCCATAAGATGGTTTTCTGAATGAAAAATCTTACACTTTATTTTGGAAAGGAAGAGCCCCTGAAGAAAAGAAAGAATAGGGTGTAGGATTTTCTGTGAAGAATACCTTCGTATGCATAATTGAGCCTCCATACCTTATGCATTACCAACTCATTTTTTAAGACTAAACCTTGCCATAAAATCTCCTGGAAATATCCAAGATCTTTAACAACATACTTCTCACCTGGACTTACCACCGTGCTGACTGTGATACAGACCACTCTTTTGTCGTCACCAGAGTGCAGGTAAAGCACAAGAAAATATATTACTTCAATCATCCAGGCTTACTGAGAATCACGTGATCAGCACAGCAGACTCTCAAAAAGCCTTTGAGTTTTTCAGGCATTGTAAGAAGTAACTAAAGAGGTAAGATAAAAAGTGGCAGCTTTTGAAAACTACTGTTTATGACACAGATTTATCAACTTTTGGTCACAAAGTCAGAAAGAACCACAACTGGTTTGAAGCTCACTTCCAAGAAATGGCTTCACTTATTGAAGGAAAACAAAGGGCATACCTAAGACACAAGAAATATCCATCAGAAAAATCACAGAAATAGCTGATAGAAGCCAGAAGTAACGTGCAAAAGTCATCCATACACTGTGCTAATGACTATTGTTTAAATTTGTATGAGAACATTCAGTCTTCTTCTGACACTGAGATTATCAGGGGAATGTATGAGGGAATTAAAAAACTATAGGACTAACTATGAAGAAGTCAGCCCCCCTAAAGTCAAAAACAGGTGAGATCATCACAGATAAGAAAAAATAGATGGAGCAATAGGTACAACACTACCTAGAAATTTACTTGCTGGATAATGAGGTGTCTGAAAAGGTTTTGAATGCATTAGTTGATTTACCCACAATGGAGGAGCTAGACTGCATTTTAACCATCAAAGAAATAGGCAAGGCGATAGATACATTGGCCAGTGGTAAGGCCCCAGGTAAAGAAAGTATATCAACAGGAGTTTGTAAATGCAGAAAAGAAATCTTAGTGCCTCAACTTCAAGAACTCTTCAACCTCTATATAAGGAGAGAACAGTACCACAGGATATGCAAGATGTGAACATCATCACTCTGTACAAGAATAAAGGTAATCGAAGTGACTGTAATAACTACAGAGGCTTTACACTCCTTAGTATCATTGGCGAAGTCTTTGCTCAAGTTGCCTTGAAAAGGCTTCAAGTTATTGCAGATCGTATGTATCTTGAGTTTCAGTGTGGTTTCAGAACCGAAAGATAGGCCGTTGATATGATCTTTTCACTTCGGCAGATTCAGAAAAATTGAAGGAAATAAAAACTTCTCTCATAGTCTTCATAGATTTGGCAAGAGCCTTTGACTTGGTGAGCAGAAAAGACTTGTTCCAGATGCTTCACAAAATTGGCGGTCCATCAAACTTCTCAACATCATCCAATCCTTTCATGAAGGTATGGAGGGCACATTCGATTCTGATGGAAATACTTCCAAACCATATGAAATCAGGGGTGGTGTCAAGCAAGGTTGTGTTCTTGCTCACAGGTTGTTCGGTATTTTCTTCTTCGGCATTTGGGTCATCAACAGAGAGAGTTTACTTCCACATAAGATCTGATGTAAAATTGTACAACTTAACTCATCTTAAAGTAAATCAAAAATAAGAACTGTCATCATAAGGGACCTGCTATTTGTTGACGATGCTGCCTTGACTGCTCACTCAGAAAGTCATCTTCAGACCCCGATTAACAACTTTGCAGCAGTCTACCAAGAGTTTGGCTTCACCACCAACAACAACAAGAAGAAAAAAACAAACACCAACATCATGAACCAGGAGGCTGTACAGACACCCACCATTTTTACTTGCCTGGGATTCACCATCAGCAGAAACCTGCCCCTTGATACAGAAATCAACATACAAATTGGCAATGCATCAACCAACATGGGCCAACTCTGCATGCATGTGTGAGAAACAAAAAACTGACAATCAATACTAAAATGAAAGCGTACAAGGCCTGTGTACTCAACCCTTTTTTGTATGGTAGTGAGGCATGGATGATCTACAAAAAGCAGGAAGTCAAACTCAGTAGTTTCCACATGCACTGTCTATGCAAGATTCTTGGGGTAGCATGGGGGGGGGACAAAATCATCAGCAGTTAAATGCTTGAGCACACCAATATGCAGAGCATCTTCTTAATAGTCAGAGGAGATTGAAATAGCTTGGACACCCAAGGTGCATGAAAGATGGAAACATCTCCAAAGACATCCTTATGGGGAGCTGGCGGCAGGAAAAAGATCAGTTGGACGTACCAATATATGCTACAAGAACGCTTGCAAAAGGAATTGGAAAAATTTTGAAATTTGTGTTGGCAACTGGGAAGAAGTAGCAGAAAACTGCCGTGCTTGGAAAACTGTGCGAAGGAAGGTATGAAGAAAAACGAAAAGAAAAGAGCTCAGTAAGAGGAAGAAAAAAGGACCATCAGAAAAAATTCAGCACAACAGACTTCATCCTCAACAACAACCTTTGCATGCTCAAAGTTAAACAGAGTGTGCTTGTCCCAAATAGGACTATACAGCCACACAAGAAAGTGCCTAAATAATTTAATTAGAATTTTTGTGCCTATAGTCTTGTGAAGCTTACAGATGCCTACTACTAGTAGGTAAGGGAATTTGTCTACTTTTTGCATGTTATTAATCTATATTCTTTGGTGCATTATTAATTAAATAAAAATTATTTAATGCATTACTATTTGTACTGTAAAAAGTTATGGTTAACTCTCTTCAAAACCCGACAGCAAAAAAAAAAAAAAAAAAAAATTGGTTAAAGTTTTTTTTTTTTTTTTTTTCTTTTTTTTTTTTTTTTTTGTTTTTTTTTTTTTTTTTTG